TTGGGCCGCCGGCCGGATCCTGTAATACCCCAAAAAGAAAAATGGAAAAAAAGCGGTAAATGGAGAGGTAGTGAGTTCTCCGTAATGTTTGCCCCAAAATGTCCATGTATACACATTCTGCTAATCACTGTCCTTGAATTCTGCAGATGGTTACAAATAAAAACAATTATCCCCCACGAAGTGGCAGACCATTGAGGCTCCTCCAGCCACAAAAAAACGCCGCAAGGTGGGGATCACAAAGTGTGTGGTTGTGAAGATAAAAAATAAAAAATAAAAAATAATAGTTTCGTCTGGCAGCTGTCGGCTCCCTGACTCCCTCAGTCGCAGTCTCCCAAAAGACAGTGCGATAGAAGAGAAAAATGTTGTGAAGAGATATCTTCGCTTGCGCGAGATATGAATTTATTTGGACAGCCAGCCGCTCAAGCATTCTTTTCACAAAATCCCATGAAAATAAAGAGAAATTGTGCGGCCCCTGTAGTGCGCAACAGCCTCCAGTGACGATGCGCCTCTGGTGGAAAAAATAAAATAAAATCAAAAAAGAGTGGGGTGAGTGTGGCACTGCTGATCACAACGGTTCTCTGAAAAGAAAGGCATTCACTGTCTAGACCTCGTGGCCACAAAAAAAAAAAAATAATAATTAAGAATCGTTTAAATACTTCCCAATACATTTCACCAAAACAAAACGCACTTTGTTCCCCAAGTATTTTTTTCAATTTTATTGCCTATCCCATTTCTAAAAGATTTCTGTATTCACTTTGCTCGGATTTTATTTACAAGATCAGTTGTCAACACAAACTGGTATTCGTGTACGTTTCCGTTCCAGAACGCCACAATCTCTTTTTCAGCGTCGCTCAAATTTTTGGTATTGACGGGACCACATCTCTGCCATTTTTTAATCTTTTTGCTGTCTGCGCGCTGCACATAAATCATCTCCCACGACATGTCTCGGGATAATTTCTTCCAGCCCTTAAAATATGCCGCCATATTATTTTTGAACAGCCTCACGGTGCTGGGTATGGTGTGGTGCTCACCCGCCGTAGTCATCTGCAGCCCAACCAGCGTCTTCCGCGGCGAATCAACAAAGAAAAAGCCGTCCACCAGCGGAAAGTTTCGGGCCGCCGGTATGTACAGCACCCCGTACTCCATCGGAATCCTCGTGACACCTTTTTCCAGTTTCCCTAATCCAACGGTGCGAGTGGGGTGCCCTTGATGGTTTACTTTCAGCACCGAATCCTGTGCTTTATTACGTTCTGGTGGCCTCAGCTCCTTGAGTCCCTTTACTAATGCACTGACAAACTCCCCACGCGTGAATACGCGCAAACCTAATTGTTCCAGAAAGTGGGAAACAAGAGCACCATGCGATCTCAATATTAGCAACAAAAGATCCTTCGTATTCATTGCCTTTGCCAAACGGTCCGCAGTTCGAAACCCGATATCATCACATATCGATGCGTTCAGAAATACCTCAGCACCTTCATCTGTTCTTTCCCGGACAATCTTCACAAGTTTGTGAGACGGATCCTCGGAATACCATTTTTCCTCTCCTCCCATGGAAAAGTACTTTCCAACATCAGTATCTTTGATTGCTAGCAAGGCACCATTAACGGCACCCAAGCGAACAATATAAATTTTCTCATCAAAGATGTAACGTAGAATCGGCCCCACATTCTCCATGCGTTCTTTGACCTTCTTCCAGTATTCCGCTTGCTTATATGGTTCCAGACCCCGCTTCATCCATGCACACATCGCCTTCACATCCATCTCTTCGGGGCAATTCATGATGATTCGACTGGCTTTTGTTTGCTTCTCCCACTCATCATAGTTGCTTACCTTTGGCGATGACACCACAATCATGCCCCATCCGGTGGAGGGCGCAAAACCTGTGTCGGGCGGAGTTCCTTTCTTTGCCACATCGTAAATAATATACCCCTTCATCCCACGCTGCCTCAAACCATCCAAAACACTCTTCGATGTTTTGTTACCCACGTATTTTGTCACCGCCTTGATGGTCTTGTCAAACACGTACATCGTTTCTCCAAAACAGTGGACAACCACTTGGAGTTTCTCCACATCGCAGTGCAGCAGCTGGTAGAGGAGGTACGAGCCGGCAGCCATCGACTTCCCGATCCCGGGCGTCCCAATCAACACACGCGGCAAAGGTGAAGAATTGAGAGTCAAATCAAAATTGCTGAACCACTCGGTTAGATCGTCCTTGATGATCTGCCACACTCGATCCACCTCGCAGTTAATAAAGAAGTCATTACCAGCCCCACGCAGCACATTCAGCGTGTACGGCCATCCCTTTTCCGAGGTGAGCACCATCAGCCTGGGAGGTGCTTCACCGGATTTCCGCACACCGTCATTCTTTTCGAGAGTGTTGCCAGCTTTCTTGTACGTCCATGACTGTTTCGGTTTCCCCTCCTTCGCCTCCATTCCCGTCCCCGTTTTCTTTCGCTTATCGCCGTCGGGAATTTCCACCACATGGTGCCAACTCGCATTGTACACAGACTCGTACAATCCCTCCATTTTCATCGCTTCAATCGTCGTCATTCGGTTCCTCGCTTCCTGAAGGGCTGAATCCAAGGAGTGTTTAGTGAGTTTATGAACACTTTTTTTTACGTTTGCAGCAGCTTCTGACCACCCAAGTAGATTGTTGAAACCATTTTTGTAAAGCTTGCGTATATCCTCGTCGAAGATCACTTCACCCTTTACAGCCCTCTTCATCCTCGCATAAGCATCGGTTATCTGTATTTCTTTCAGTGCTCCCTTATCACGGATATACTTATTGGGGTTCTTGAAAAACTCCTTCAGCAAAACATTCCGATTGGTGTCCACAACGCCCCTGCCGCCCAGCTCCCTCGTAAGAAATTCGTTCAGCTTCATTTCATTGACGCGGACTCTTCCTTTAAACAGTACATCTTCGATCGTAGTGGAAAGGGTAAATTTCATTTCTGCCTCACGCCGTTCTGTCAGTATCTGAGTGAGGGCTGCGTTTAGTTTTCCCCTTGCAATAAGAGTGACTGTGTCCTTTCCTTCATAGTCCCTCCATTGCTCGAGAGAGAACACACCCTTGTGATGAAGTTTAGTAATGGCCTCCAGCTCTTGGTACTCTGTTAAATTAAAAATAATTCTAAGAAGCTGCTGTTTTTTTACGTAAGCACCCGGCTCCTGAACAAACACCTGCATCGTCACGTTGTGGTCTTTACCAACGACCGCCCTGCCGCCAACATAATTCCGAAGAAAATCGTTCAGCTTCATGTCGGTGCTGAGAGTGTCTCCCTCCAGCAGAACGTCCTCTACGGTGCTGCTCATGGTCCACTCTGGTCGCCGCGTTCCCTCCACTCCTCTCCGTGCTGCAGCGTCGGAACCATCGCCGGGGATGCCACGGCGAGGTGCCATCACAACACCCGTGCGATGAAGCATCCCACTCGCACCGCCCAACTGCGGCCAGCAGATTTCGCTGGCTCCAAAGGACAGTCGCGGCTGTTTCGTCCCGCAGTCCCAATGGCGTTGGGCGTGGCACTCGCATGGCGGGGCGGTCGGTGCGCCATGCAGCCGCACTGCAACGCCTGTCTGTAAAACAGTCAAGGCCCACCGCTCCCGCAGCAACACAACGTGCAATCGGCCACAACACCGCAACATTATCGTCCTTTTTTTTTATGATTCACGTTGTCTTTTCGTTTGCCCTATCCCTAACACTAAAAATAAGTGCACACCTTCAGAGGGAGAAGTAAAAATCACAAAAGGAAAACACGATCCCACCGTCCCGATGCAACTCAGCACCCTCCTCCATCCACCACCATTGCCGCACAGGAAAACGCAGTCACATCGCAGAGTCAGCACCACAGTGTGCACCACACCATCGTGCACTGAACGATGGGCGAGACGCAGCCATGCATCGCCCCGCTCCATTTTCCCACCACTCAAATCTTGCCTGCCCGCACAAAGTAGCAAACAGAATCAGAGTGCACACAAAACCAACCAACACCCTCACTCGCTGAAGCACATTGTTCGCATGGAGTGACATCCAAGGACACAGCCGCAGTAGCTGGCTGCATGGAATTCTCCTGGCAACCCCCCAAAAAAAACACAACAACTCTGCGGAGTCAAGGTGACAGTCCCGCAGTGTTGCCCGCAGTCCACATGGCAGGAAGAATTCCACGCACGCATAGTTCCGGATCCTTCGCTGTTTGAGTGCACACCAACAATACACGTAAAGAAAATACGTGCACACAAGATGACGTTTAAATAAGTAAACTCTTCAGCCTGTTTTGTTTGATGGTGTTGGCGGGCAATCCCGCACAATCCAATCAAAATGACACGCCGGGCAGAATGTCTTCAGTTAATAAATAAAAATAATTGCGTCAATGCAAAAAAGCAGCGGAAAGTTGGCGCATAAGGTTGACAGTCCCAACTGAGGCGCCGAGGAGCACTTCGGTGTACAACTGGCCGTCCGGCTGAGAGGACAAATAAAACAAAAGGGCAGCAAACCCTCTCGCTCAATGTTTTCTAACTGCAACGAGAGAAAACAAAAATAAAAGATGCACCAAAAAAAAAGTGTGTAGACAATTTCCCTCTCATCGTAGCCCCATTTATCTCAAAGCTGGACGTTGTCGAAGTGCAAGAAATTATTCAAAACTGAGGAAAAAATTACATCTGAGACGTTTGCGTGATGAGCATCCGGAATACTCTTGACGACAGTGAGGGAAAGGCAGACGCCTGAGTTCCCCCCACATTTGGCCTGACGAAAAAAAAAATCCCACAAACATGCATTTGTATGGTTGCAGTAAAGCTTTGCCTTGACAAATCAACAACAGTGTTAACAAAGGGAATAATAAGCTGGAAAAATCCAGGCGATTGCAAGGGCAAGGCATCCTCACGTTGGAATTGTTGTACATCCTAAAGAAGAGCACTTGACAAGATAAAGAATAAGACCATAAAATCATTCTGCGACCACACAGACAGACACACACACACACACAATCACATCCCTCTCCCCCTGCTCAGTTTTATCACACCAGACACAAATAGGCCCAAGACACTCCATCACCCAAGAAATGGATGCAGAAACAAATAAAAATATAAAATTGGCAATAAATTAAAAAATACTGCCTCCCCTTGCAACAGTTTTACTCACAAAAATTAGTCAATGCACAACTGCACATCAAGTTTCTGTCCCCATAGCTTCCATCGATGCGGCCAACTGAAGGCCAAACTTTTCGGTGGAAGAATGGCTCGAAGGGAATGCAGCAGTTTTCCGGGCGTATGGCATGTCCCAATCATCTGATGTGACACACTTTGCCGTGTGCGGGGCATTCTTGAGAACGTTGTTCGTTGTGCTCTCTTCACCCTCCTCTATGGATGCAATTTCGGTACGAATGGAAATAAGTGCATCGGCCAACCGACCCAACTCCCGCTTTGACTCTGACTCTGTGGGTTCAGTCATGAGTGTTCCCGCAACAGGAAATGCCAGGGTAGGTGAGTGAAGGCCGTAATCCATAAGTCGTTTCGCCACATCTTCTGCTTCAATTTGTGCTGTTTTTTTAAATGGCCTTAAATCGATGATAAGCTCGTGAGCGCAGAAATTGTTTTCCCCCAGAAAGAGAACTGGGCAGTGGCCGTCAGGACGCTTCTTTAGATAGTTGGCATTTAAAATCGCATACACCGTGCATGTCTTGAGACCCCGTGAACCGAGCATCCACAGTAATAAATAAGAAACTTGAAGAATAGACGCTGATCCGTATGCTGCTTGAGAGACTTGACCAAAAGGCTGGGAACCACCAACATTTTGAATAAAAACAGAATCTGGCAAGAATGAAGCCAGGTGCTGACGAACAGCAATAGGACCCATGCCTGGCCCACCACCACCACGAGGAATTGAAAACGCTTTGTGGAGATTAATCTGGCACACATCGCCCCCAATACATCCAGGTGCCGTGTAACCCACCATGGCATTCATCTTTGCACCATCAATATAACATTGCCCTCCATCGTAGTGCACCATCGAAGTAATGGCCAAGATTTCCCTGTCAAACAAACCATACGTACTCGGATACGTTATCATAATGCACGAGAGATTCTTTGTATGCTTTTGGCAAGAATTTTCCAAATCCTTCATGTCAATCCTTCCATCCGCCAAACACTTTATCTTTACAATCACCGTCCCTGCCAAGAGAACCGAAGCAAAATTTGTGCCATGAGCACTTTCTGGAATCAAGCAAACATTGCGATGGCTCTCCTTTTTTGAATTATGATACGAGCGGATCACACGAAGACCAGCAATATTCACCCCGAGCACCACTATTTGGCTGAAGTGACACGGCATCTAAAGCGGTAATATCCCTTATTTTCTGCTCCAGATCCAAACACAACGCGCTAAGTCCTCGCGTTTGCTCCTTCGGTGCAAGAGGGTGAAGGTTGGTAAATTCTGACCACAACAAGGACAGAGTGGCGGCAGCTGGACTAAGTTTCATGGTACAATAACCCAAGGGCACACAACCATGCGTGAGACCATAATCTTTTCCATGAAGACGGTGAATGTACCGCATAAGCTCACTCTCACTCTTGTACTTTTGAAAGATTGAACGCCCAAGAAAGACAGATTTTCGTAACATTTGCAAAGGCATTGCTCTCTTTTGTTCTGTGAGTTTTGAAAGAACACCTATCACAGGAAGTTTTTGGCCCTGCTGCCTCCAAGAGAGACACTACATGGCCCTCGGTACTGGCCTCATCCACCGATATGGAGACGGTGCCATGATTATAATCAACAAAAATATTAATGCCTTTTTACACGCAGCATGCCACGTAGCCTTCAGGCGTTATACCTTTTAAATTTACGGTGACGGTATCAAAAAATGTACCATTGACCACTGTATGCCCTACAGACTCTAAGCCAACAGAAAGTATTTTGGCTTTACTGCGCATTTCGCTCGCAATTTCCTTCAAGCCCTCAGAGCCGTGATAAATGGCATAAAATGCCGCAACATTTGCTAGGAGAGCCTGTGAATTACAAATATTGGATGTGGCGCGTTCCCTCTTAATATGTTGCTCCCACGTCTGAAGCGCCATGCGCGTGGCCGGGCAACCCGTCGAGTCTTTACTTATACCAATGACGCGACCCGGAATCAATCGCTTAAATTCCTCCTTGACAGCAAAAAATGCGGCGTGAGGCCCCCAAACCCTAGTGGGGCACCAAAACGGTGGGCAGATCCCAAAACAACATCGGCTCCCATTTCTCCCGGAGGTTTGAGAAGAACAGAAGCCATCAAATCTGCCCCACAGCAACTGACGACACCATGTCGTTTTGCCTTCCCAAACAGTGTCGTAAAATCATGAAGCATCCCCATGGCATCTGGAGTTTGTACCAAAATTCCACAAAGTGAGGAATCGCTCCAATCAATCAAATTTGGATCACCAACAACGACCTTTACTTTAAGGGGCTCGGCTCTTGTTTTTGCCATCTCTACGCAAGATGGGAAGAAATCCCTCGATAATAATAAAAAAAAAAAAAAAAGGTCATGCGCTCCTTTCGACCATGATGAAAGGCAAGGTACATTGCCTCAGCACATGCAGTAGCTTGATCCAGAAGAGATGCATTTGCCAAATTCACAGCTGTCAAGTCTATAATCATGGACTGAAAATTCAACAGGGACTCTAGACGGCCTTGAGATATTTCAGCCTGGAAAGGAATGTATGGGGTGCACCATGCAGGATTCTCGATAACTTTACGAAGTATTACAGGTGGTGTGCCCTGGCTCATAGTAGCCTTGCCCAATCATGCTCCTTAATACCTTATTGCGTGAACCCGGTGAATGGAGAAGCGAAAGGGCATCCTGCTCGCTCATCGCCGGAGCCTCTTTTAAGGGACTTCGCAAAATATTCTCTGGGATCACAGCAGTCATGCGGTCCGACAGAATTTCCTTGCCAATTATTCGAAGCATAGAAATTGGTTCTGCCGCTGATGGTGCAATATGGCGATTGACGTAACTGTTTTTAGCGGTCCGTCGTACAAACGCCAGTGGCAGCGTGGAGAAATGATGAAAGCAACGATACATTATTATGTTAGATATGTGCTCGTCACCCTCCTTCTCTCTCTCTTGCACACGCGTTAGTTTTCTTTTACTTTGGATAAAACTTGGGCTTCACAGTTAAAAATCCACAGGAACAAATACAAAATATAATTAAAAAATAAAAATAAATTTAAACAATAATCAAAATAATAATAATAACCCATTAAATAACAACAACAACCGAAAAGGATTGTCAAGGAAAATAAGCACGCATTTATATGAGCAATTCCAATTTTCATCCCCGCACACCACACATAGCCCCCGCGTCCCTTTATCCATGGACCTTCACGTCGGGTATTCACTAAAGTAGGCGTGACGAAGGGCGCCAGCCGCAGTCAAACGCTTCTGAGGATCCAGGCAAAGTAATCTTCGCAACAAATCCAATGCACATTCAGAGGCATCCGGGAAAAATTCACGGAGAGGAAGAGGACGCTTCGGCTCAAAGTGCAACTTTCCCCAATCGGGAAGCAGCACCGCCGATGGCCACGATGTGGGCGTCGGTGTCCCTAATACATCAAATATTCGTGACAACTGCCAAATATCTCCATCGCCTGCAAAAAAAGCACCACCGTACCCCCGTAGAAGCTCCGCAAATACGCACCCTGATGACCACACATCAATTTCGGGTCCGTAGTGTCGCTGGCCCAGAAGTAACTCGGGAGCCCGGTACCACCTTGAAACGACTTCGTGAGTCATGGATGCTTCCGCATCCCATGCACGACTGAGTCCAAAGTCGCCGAGGCGTAGTTCCCCCTCCGCAGTCAAGAAACAATTTGAAGGTTTCACATCTCGATGAAGAACACCCTCGCTGTGTATGTACGCTAACGCCAAAAGAAGCATCTTAAATAAAGACTTTGCCTCTAACGCGGGCAGAGGATTGCTGGCAGTTCTCCCCGAGAGGACTGTTGCCAAGTCAGTCTTGCAACGCTCCATCACTAACGCCAAGGAGCAGCCACACGGAACCACCTCATATGTCCGAATAACAAAAGGATGCACCAATCGCAATGCAACGAGTAGTTCCCTCGCTGTGGGGTGCGGAATACCCTCATCGAGACGTGGAGTTGTGACGAATTTGATTGCGGCTGGCACTCCAGATTCCTTAACAACTGCAGCACGAACGACGCCAAAGCGGCCCTCACCAATTGGGGATCCAACAATAAAACGATCCATGCCAAGCGACCAACTCTCTCTTCTTTTTTTCTCTTCTCCACCCCTCCCTTCCATTCTACGGCATCGTGAAAATATAAATGAAACACAAAAAATTGACTCCGGTGATGCCAAAATCCCTCCGCACCCAAAGATCATCCTCAATGCCCCTCCCTAATGAGCACATGCATAGAAACTGAAAGAACTCCAATTTATCTCAAAAGAATCCATTTTTTGTGGTGGCAGTTATTGTTTTCTCCTCGTCAGAATCTAATTATTTCAAAAACTTTCTCGTATTTAAGACTTCTGACTCTCTATTCACAACAGGGGCAGTCGCACCAGAGCACATCTTTGCTCGAGCGAACAAACTCACTCTTTCATTCCTGGGTTTCTCATGGCCCACTTCCACCTCAACAGGGGGAGGAGGAGGAAGAGAAGAAGACTGCTGCTCTTCCGTGGAATATTTCGGTGTGGCTGTGGCCACATCACCCTCATTTTTGGCTTGCAGTTGTGCCGCACGATCCTCAACCAAAAAGGGAGACTGATCCATAGCCGTGTTCTCAGGGGCAATAAGATCATCTACACAGACAAGAAATTCCTCAGCGCCTGTGCTCAATGCACACTCCCGAGAATCATCCGCACAACAACCGCCTGTATGCTTCCTCACCACCAATGATTGACTGAGAGAGTTGTTTTTCCGCAAGAGCTCATCACTTAGTTTATTAACGGTTGACGCGCCTCCCCTCTTGGCTGCTACTCGTAAAAGAATGGAGTGAGTTGCCCTCCGAACTGTCGCATTGGGGATGCCGCTGTCCGTCTTTGGACACTGATTCGTCCGGTACGTTTTTATCTCCGTAAAAGACTCGCGTGTACGGCCCAAACCTCCCTCTTGCGTGCGCCGCCAAAACGCATCATACCGTTGCCTCTTGCTTCTCAGAGATATGAAGGCGGCGCATCTTCGGCCTCACGATCGCTGATGCTCTGCTCACTTTCCCCCGAGTCGTCCGGAGCTAAAATACGTCCAATTGTTTTTGTTGCGTCTTGTGAAAATGCGTTTGCTACACCTGCGGCACCCGCGCTCCCTCGCCACCAAAAAGAACGCTGCCGCCAGATTCCTTCCTCGCCCTCTTAAAACTCCTTCAGAAAAGTGGAAACGTCCATTTTCTTCAAACGTAAAAAAGAAAAAGAAATGAACATGTGCTTAGATGAGGTCGTTGACGTCTTATCCTCAGAAATATAAGAGGAGGAAAACACAACAAAATGGGAGAAGACAATTTATTCACACATCGCTCCGCATCAACGCGCTCCAAAGAAAAATCATCCAGCACGCATGCACACGCAACAAAAGCCATCAGACAAATAAATCGACAAGAGCCAAACTCGTCGTAAAGCAGCAGAGCTGCAGCCATAATTTAGTACCCCTTTTGGCCGCCGGACTCCCCCGCACCGCGTGAGGCGCAATGAAGGAGGCGGGTGGGACGGCAGAAAGAAACCGCAGCCGCCACCTTCCCGCGCAGCACCATCAAAATTCGCCCCCACAACTCGCACATTCGTTCCAAAAAGTTTCTAAAAAAACAACTAAAAACGCTGCAAATCAATAAATATGAGATGTTTTGAGCACTGCGGATTGCAAGGCGGAGCACCCACGTATTCCACAGGAGGGCGGACTGGCACTTCAATGAGAAGGACAGGAATTCACAAGTTTTTCCTCCTCCTTTTGTTTCGCCGTGAGCGCGGGAACGCAGACGAGGGAAAACTCACAGTTTTTTAACACACAAAAAAAAAAAAGACGGCAGCCAAATGAGGGCCATTTTTTCTTGTCGATTTCGTGAGCGTTTAGTTATTTATATTTTTATTTTCTGCAAATTGTGCCGGAGACGAAAGGAATAATTAAATAAATAAATAAATAACACACGCGGAAATTACAACAAAAACACAAACACGCGAAATTAAAAATAAAGAGGCAACAAATAACATATCATACCGTCCTTATTTTCATTGCAGAGTTCGCTACAAAAAAAACCCTCCATAGGATCACCATCGTGCGCATGCTGCAGCTCGGAGGCAGACAGAGTCGAGAGAAACAAGTGTTTACAATGAGATGCCACATCACTTGCATTGGCCTCATTCTCTACAACAATGGATTCACTTGAAACCTCAGTTTTCGCAGTAAAATCTCTCTTGCAGCCGTTCTAATCGACCTGAGAGATCCACGGCCCAACCTGAAGTGCACATCCACCAAACGCTTAGCGAGCATCAACACGGTTTCCCCATCACTCACCGTAACTAAAATCACCTGACACCTCGTAGCTGATACATAAATAAGAACATGAATTACGTCAGAGCCCTCTGAATATCGAAGGTTGTCCTGCGGTGCAGCAAGAAAGGCGAGGCTACCGGTGTGTTGCCCATCACCCATAGAGGAGTATACACCTGCAACAGCAGCAGAAACATCGTCGTCGTCATCATCCAAATCAGCATCGTCAGCACTCTCCTCGTCGGGAAATGTACCTGCGGTATTTCGATCTTCTCCTCTTCGTGGCGCCCCAGAGACAACAGTTGCTGCCTGGGCGGATTCAGTAGTCAAACGATCGGACTCGCAATTACAAGCATTCACACCGTTCAACTCTTTATGGTGGCTCTGAGCACTAGCACAGGACGGATTTGTAGCCTGCGGTGTCTTTGAGAGAAACTCAAAACATTTGCTTCACACCCGTCGTGGTTTATTTACATGAAGATTTTGTGATTTAACAAAAAAGCTCGAGCATGACGCACAGAAAATACCGCCACAGTACCGACAATGATGACGCCTGCACCCGAAATTAAATTTGACCTCACATATTTCGCACTTCTGCATTGAGCTATCAGACGTCCATCCGCCTAATACCGATGGCCTGATCGTCATGTGCCATACTTTATTTCTGCTGCATTTATTAACAGGCATAGAAAAGAATATGTGCATACAAATACATACATAATATCACACGTGAGGGACATCCGTAACAGTAATGATAAGGCCAACCATATGAAGGAAGCTAAGCCGCAGACACACACAATATATATATAGGGAGAGAGAGACGGAAAGAAAAAAAAAGGGGAAAACATTGTTGTTGCTTTTTGGTGTTGTTTCGTTTCACAAAAATTGCCTCTACCGTCATGTGCAGCAACATCAATCACTGCCCCAGTGAGTCCTCACCATCACTCTTTTTTACCATGAAAAACAATGGCAACCAAAAAATATCCGCCTCAGACGGTAAAAAAGAGTCCCCGTCGTCACTTCCGCTCATGGAGTCTTCAGGCAGGCTGCCGTTTGCGAAGGAGTTGTGGATCATCGTTCTAAGAGTGCCGCGCGCAACGGGCCGAGACGGTGCAGGAATTCATTCAACATGTTGTCGTGGCCAGGGGCTGAGCCAAGCAAAGAGTCACGGATGGCCACGTCAAGTTCATACGGTGGGAAAGGCCGATCCATTTCCCAGTCACCAGGAACCAAAGAAGTGCAGCGGCAGCAGCAGCAGTATAAGGCGGTATGGCACGTGAATCCGCACAAAATGACGAACAAGCAGATTTGCCCGTTGCCGAGGCAGGGCGCATACGCGGCCAAGATCAGTGCGGAGCACAACCGATTCCAGGGGATGAGGGTGCGGCGCCGCCACGCCGTGAAGATATCGCCAGGTTGGGCTGGGTGAGGCTCCAAGTCTTTTCGCGCGGGCTTCCAGAAGCACAGCGGAGCAACGGCGTAAGGCTTGATTTTGTTTCTCCATTTTCAAGTAAATTCGGCTCGAAGCAGGCTGCCTCCAGACGAGGCAATGTGTGCGTTGTGTGCTGCTTCATCAGCGACCTCGGCTTGCACCATTTCGTGTGTCCATATCGTTTTGGAGCTGTCACGGCCGCCGCGCGGGATATGGCGCTCAGCTGCTCGCACGATGCCTCCGCGAGGATCCAACCATGTGGACGCGGTGGCAAGAAGGGTTTCACACAAAGATGTGAAAAAGCAGGCTAATCCGCTTTACGCAGGGTAAAGATGTCTTTCTTCCGTCAAGGCAGCGTGTTTGCTAGTCGTGGAGTGCCATCGTCCATCTCTACCAAGTAAGATATTCAGCAGTGGTCCGAGTTTATGTAAGGGGCGAATGTCCAGTGGGAGATGCGTAGGGCGCAATACGCAGTCACGTCAGGGGACGAGACATTACGATGTGTGATCCGTGTTGCCTGCGCCGTGTCATTTGCCGGCTCAAAATCCATATCAATTAGAACAGCGGCGAAATTATCGCCTCCAGTCCTTGATGGTATATATGACTGTCCCAGAGTTCACGATGTAAATTCAGGTCACCCGCGATAATCTCTTCGGGCACAAGCGACAAACGATATTGATAAATGCGGATTATTGACCAATTTCCGTGGGGGGTTGTAGAGATTCGCCACGCAGATGCTGCGACAGCCCGGTGGAAATACACGGAGAGCAATGGTCTCCAGGAGGTCAGTGCCAGGGAGCGACAGGCGCTCGCACGGCAGAGAGTGGTGCAGCAGAGTGGCAACGCCACCACCGCGCCCAGTGCAGGCCTGGAGAAAACCATTGCAGCCAGAAACTTTTGTCGCTACGTCGCTACAGTCATTTATTTCCTGGAAAAGAACGATGTCAGGTTGGGGCAGCTCCCATCGCGCCGCAAGTGCAATCTTTTTACGGGCGAGAGGCCTGCAATGTTAAGCCGCCAAACAGTGATGTAGCCATCCTCCTCGGGCAATGGTTCTTGTGAACATCACCGCCACGGGTGATATCAACGGAGTGACCGCAGCGAAACGGTCGTGCAGTTCTGTCCGACAGTCTGCAGGCCGACCGCCTCACCTCCCCGTACCGGGCATGGCGTGGAACCTTCTCGAGGGGTGGAGTCGTCTTGGTCTCCGTCGTGCTCGCAGCAACGCCCTGCTGCGGAGATATTATACACAACCAAAGCCCAGCACCGCGAAAGGGTACGGACCCCATCGCTGGAGTACACTGCAATACCCATATATCGTGTAATTGTCGTTAAGTTCTTACCCACAGTCACAAAAAAAAGCAAGGCATTTAGGGGCACACACAACCACAACGGGGCGTCAAAAAACAATCAAGCAAGATGACTGCTAGAACGCGACACTGCACGGCTGCCCACGCCGTGGCAAGCCGCGGGACATATGCTGAAAAGTAAAAAAAAAACAAAGTTAAATCCGTCTTCCATTATGCACTCACTCAAAAACACACAAAAAAAGCTGCACGTTGGTGTGCGTGTCTTGCCCGAAGATAATAAAATAGGATACACTCGTTACAGTCGTTTAAATCCCCGGTGCCCACACATTATTTATATTCCACTGGGACACTCGGCGTGGTTTCGTGCCCCCATTCCATTGTCTCTTTTATTAGCCGGCGCCATCGGCGTGGCACTCAATGCCGAGAGCGCCCATGATCAGTAATAAAGAAAAAAAAACACTGAGTAGATCCCTTAATTGCCGGACCACAAAAAAAAAAAAGAAAAAAACAAGAATAACGCGGTGCTGGGGAGAGCATGCTTCCGCATGGAGGAAGAGCTCTGCGCAGCGAAGGGGATGTAAAATAAAATGGTTAAAACAAGGCGTCACAGAAAGTGGCAATTAATTTAAAAGGGTGCGTGGACAGACGCATATGTTCCCGCTGGAAGCAGGAAGTCCTCACCGCGATTTCTCAGTAAAGGGCCACAAAGGCGCAAAAACCCAGCCCCAGCAGCAGCAGCAACCGCGACACGCCCCCACGCATGGAGCCGTCACCGTTTCCTTTTTTGCCGCCACCGTTTCCTTTTTTATCGTCGCTCTTCCTGACCATTTTTAGTTCACCGACACTCAGTGGGCGGTTGTACAGAAAGACGTTCTTCACTGTCAAATTGCTGTTGATGTCTCCCTCGCCTCCACCAAAATAGAATTGTGTGATTTCATGTCCCAGCGCCCCAAGTGTTGTTATAGTCTCTGGGCTCCCCACAATCTTACCATTCACGTACACGGAGCCCTTGTTGCCGTCCTGCAGCATGAGCGCCACCTGGTGTTCTTTCCCCAGCTCCCAAGTGGTGTTCGATGTCGTTTTCTTCCCATCAAACACCGTCTCCCACGTTTTATTCACGCTGTACGACAGCCCAATGAAGTTCGTGCTGACGGGTGCATCCAGACCCGCACCCAGCAGAGAAGTGCTCCCCTTCGCAACCTGGTGGATGGCCACCGTCGCCACAAGAGTGAATCTGTGGTTCACAAAGCCGTACTGTCTGTTATCCTCCCGGCTGTTCACGGGCCATTTTGCCATGGATCCAGGCCCCTTGAATTTGAACCCATTTTTGACCTTCGCTGCCTTCGTCACGGATGCATTCACGCAGCGGTACTCGTCGATCCACGTGTCGCCACCAGACGACGTATTGGACAGGAATCCAACCAGACCAGCCGTGGGTGTGGACGACTTGGAAAAGAAGGCGTCCAGCTGTGCCCAAGTACTGAGGACGGAATTGATCGTCTTCAGCTCATCAGTCAGGCGGGCAAGTGAAATGGCACTGCCTTTTTCATTGGCCCTCTCCTTTAAAAGGTGCAACGCACCATCCGAGTACAGCAGGTTGCTGGAAAACGTCTCATTCACATTATCCTCCCCAAAAAGCGGTCCGATGTGAAAAGTGCGGTTGTTGTCCGTGACCCAAAGGCAGAGCGCATTGGCCTCTTTCTCCCCCGAGGCGTACCCTCTCTGAGTGTACAGCATGACCTTCATTCCCTCAATGGTCGCGGTGATGAGGGCATCCACGCGCAAGCCTTCGTCCCAACGGAATCCTGATCGTGACTTGACCCACACGCCTGAGAGTGTCCCGACTGCCTCCGTCCACGTTTTCCCCATGTCACGCGACTCGAACACACTCTGGCCATTCTCGCAGTCAACAATCATGAGAAGTGATCCCTTCCATTCGGTGATGCGGGGGTTAAAGCATTTCGCAGGGGACATGCCCGTTGAGAGCGACCATTTTTCGCCGTCGTCCGTCGAGTAAATGATCATGGAGTAAACGTCTTCTGTTTCATTTCCGCTCTTCGCCATCAGTGGAAACACAATGGTGCCTTCCTCCATCAGAACACCTGAGCCACCAGAAGCAACAAACTCCGTCAAGTTAACTTTGTGAGCAGCTATAGTACTCTCGTTCAATGGAGACCTGATTGGGCCCCATTTGATACGTTCACTCAGCTTGCCACCCGTGGGATTCGTGACATCACCCACAACCAGTTTCAGCTCAAATTTGCCCCATTTCCAGTTCCTACCACTTTCCTTGAGCTCACCAAAGCCTCCCGCAAGAAGAAACACCTTATTGCCCTTCATGGTGGTCGTGGGGCGGAGCACAACATCCAAACCCCCCTTTCCCTCCGCTTTACCAAGCACGGTGTGTGCCCGCCATGTTCCTTTATCGACCTCACCAACATGAGTGAACCAATTCCACGCAGAGTCGATGTACTCCGCAACAACATCAGAAGACGGCTTACTTGATTGATCACCTTGATATTTGGTTTCCATGCGACCCTCGGCAAAAACAGCAATTACTCCACCAGCACTGACGAGAGAGGGTGAGGCAAACGAATCCCTCGGCGTACCTTGAGAAGTTCCATCTTCCGGTACAACCAGCGTCTGATTCGGCAAAAATAGATCGACCGTATGAGGCAATTGCACATTCCCCGAATTACTCGTCACGGCGTTCGAAGCCCCACCACTGGAGCACATCATCACGACAAATAGGAGCAGCACCGCGGAAGCAAACACACGCCGGGACATGTTGGGCCTCTGCGGCTCACTCTCTCCTCCTTCCCTCCTCCTTCCGCTGGATCCGGTCACGCGGCGACGGTTGTTTGTGCGGGGTGCCATCACTGCAGCAACACGTGAGAGTATACAAATATGTGTGTGTGGGCGGTGTGTTGTTGGTCCTTTTAGAGTCTTCGAATTTCACAGTAGCGTTTCGCGCTTGTTTTCCCTAGCTTATTTAAAAAGTTAAAAAATAAAGAAATAGAGAGAAAACATGCCGTGAAGGGAGGCAAGCCAGTGAGCACCGCCACCCCTGCACAGTGAGTGGCATCATCACCCCCACCGTAGTCACTCCCCAGAAAAAAAGCTCACGCACGCAGACACATGGAACAAGAAGGAAAGACAGTGCACCGGAAGCGCACAGCGACTGTCACCAACAGCACCAGCAGGTGCCACGACGGGTGCGTCCTTATTCACGCTTCAGCACACACCAAGCAACACCAACACAAAAAAAAAACAACAGCGGGATGCAAAAGAGCAAAACTGCCCTTCGCCGCGCCCACGCGCTGCCACCAGTCCTTTTACTGTTGTCTCCTCCAACGCTCCCGCTTCGCCGCCGGCGCACATCACCTCGCACAGCCGGAGGATCCCCCGCCGTCAAATACACAGCATGGGAGAAACTTCGGCACGTGCAGCTGCTGGACGGGAAGCAATCCGCACGCTCCCAGGCACCCTCAACTTTCACAATACCCAACTGCTTGCATGCCGCCACATCCACGCCCGCAACACGTCGACAAGACACATCGCGGTCTCCCGTCTTCCCTCCTAGCGAGAGCAGCCGCAGCCACAATCCTGTGCGTGCATTCTCAGCGTTTTAAACACGGCATTTGTGTGTGTGTTTGTTTGGCAGCGCCTATACTTACAGAGCAGCTGTGCGCCACAAGAGAGTCCGAAGAAAGCAACGGCAGAGAGAGGCAGATAGCACACATGCAAATTACTCATATCATCACACACACACACACGCAGCCGCGGAATGGGTGCACTCAACCACAAAATCAAAAAGGAAAACAAAACAAAAAGCCGAAGCGTAGGACGACCAGCGCACACACACACTCATTGCTCCCGTAAAGCAAAACACACACACAGAGGGAGAGAGAGAGAGGTCGCCCACTCAATGCAATAAAAACAAAACAGAAACAGTTACGGTGCTCCGCCCATGCAGCCAGGCAGGACGGCAGCGGTGCGTGTCGTGCAAAAGAGAGCACCAACGGGCCTGCATGGGTGTGCATGCATATATACAATGGGCACATTATTGTGTGTGCCTCGTGGGGTGAGGTGAGGGCGAGAGTCCATGCAAGGGGACACACACACAGAGAGAGAAGGAAGAGTGTGTGTGCGGGCGGTGCATGGCTCTCTCACACTCACTCCCACGCGGCCACCACAACAGCAGCAGCCGCACACGCAACAAGAAGAAGAAAAAGAGAGGAGGTGGTGTGGGAGACCGCGGTGCTGCCGTCACTGTCGCCAGCCGTCGCCGTGTCACCTGTTGCGGCGTTTGTGGTTGGCACTGTTTCCTTCGGATTGGCTTCTTTATTCTCATTTTGTTTTTCTTCTCGTGTTCCTGTACCATCAGATGCTGGGTCATTGTTCGGGATGCCCTCTTCAGTGCTCTTGTCAGCTTCATTATTGGCGAAATTACCGTTTTCCGTGGGTAGTGGTGGCTCTGTTTCTGCATGGCCGTCAGATGGTTCATTCTGCGAATTGGTTGTGATGGGGGCAACGCCCTCAGTTTGTGAATTGTTGTTTGACTTCATGTCGCTTTGGGGTAGTTGTAGCTGTTACACGGGCACGGTATCTTCATGGCTCTACTGTCCATTCACTCGTGCTTGTGTTGAATCTCCCTCTGTTTTTCTGATTTTTTTTCAGTGCCACTTCTGCTGGTGCTTTTATTAGTGATGGTGATGTTGCTTGTGGTATTTTTTTCAGCTTCGCTGCATTTTCAAGTGTCCCTGTTGGTGAATTATCATTTTTGTTTTCTTCGTGTTCTCCCGCTTCTTCTTGTACTGCCTGTTTTGGTTTTTGCTTTTTATCTTCACCTTCGTTAACCTTTTCCAATGCTACCACCCCCAGTTCGGGAGTGTTGGGAAATATATTAACGACACTGTCATCCGTAGGCGTGAAATTGGAGGATGCATTACTCTTGGAAGGATTATTCAAATTGTGATCTTTGCCAGGTTGAGTGACAGTACTGCCAGATGAAGATTGACCAACGCTTTGACGTTGGGACTCTGTTGCCTTACCACCTGAGGGATTCCTGGTATCGCCAATTCCATTTGGACAAGCCGTTTTTAACAGCTTCTCCTGTTCAACTTGATCTGATGCTTTGGGTGTCGGCAGTGGTGCTGGTGGAACAGGCGTTAAAACCTCATTATTACCCTTCGACGTGGTACCAGACAATAATTGCTTGGGCTTTTCCAATGTAACTGCACCACCCAATTCTGCTCCCTCCTTGTCCCCAGCTTCAGCCGCCCTTATTAATCCCACCTAAGTGGATAACAAACTGCAGTCCGCCCTCGGAAATGCCCCGTCACTTTCAGCATTATTCATGTGCGTCAATAAATTCCCGTTACCTTCACTTCAGCGGTCCGCCATCGCGTATACAACTCCGCCGACACCGCACCGCACCACAGCACGCAGAGGGCACACACCAGCAGCACACGGCCAGTCATCATCGCCATCACTCCTGTCACTTGTGTGTAGCCTTCAGCACAAAATAACTCCCCGTCAACGCAGAGCAAAAAGAAAATAAAAGGAAAGAGAGACAAGTCACACAGCCACGCACAAGCAGCACGCACACAAATGAGTCGGTTGGAATAAGCACAATTGCAGAACTCCCACACGGCACTGCAACCCAATTTTTTAATTACTTTAATATATATATATATTCACCTGCGCAGCTGGCCAAATCCAGAGATTCTCAATAATAGAAACCAAACCAAGTAGAAATAAAAAAGGGGTGAATGGAACAAGAGCGGGGGTTCACCACACCCCCAAAGTTTAACACCAATTAAGTGTATATATATATCATCTGTTTGTAACAATCGTGGCCCGCTCACGTGGCCTTTTGAACTCATGTAGGATATAAAACATTTATTACTTACGAGGCTGCATACTTTGGGGTCCTCCAGCCAAACGACACCGCCGCTCCCTTCGCAAGTTCCACCCCTTTGCCAAGTCCTGAAGTGTAAACAGACGACCGCGTGATATGCCGTCAGCGGGGTTTTTTGCGGACCGCACGTAGGCAAAAGTTGCCCGCATTCCGTGAGAGTCCAAAAACTCATATATTCGTTGCAGCTCCCACGTCATGGTGTATGACTTTGAGCTGCCTTTATTCGCCGCTCCTTGCAGCGAAGTGTTGTCACCAAATGTCCATGGTGGATGGCAAGATGGCGGAAAAGGCCGACAAGGCCAAGCGTACCGTGCGCGCCTCGGCCTGCATGATAAGAAAAGGCTTCCTCTCCCATTTCCCTCCGGCAATTTTAACGTCGCCGGAGTCTGGAATAAAAAGGCTCCCCATCCATGGAGCGATGCATCCGTGATGATGGCGGCCGATGCCATTTCCGTGGAATTGATGATTCGCTTACGATTGTTCTCGATGGTGTGTCGCAATCTCTCGCCCAAACCAACCGCTGCCGGCGGAACGTTCGCCGGGGATGTCTCCAGCACAATCCCTTGGTGAAGTGTGGATAATCGTCGTCGCACTGCCTTGATGAAAAAGTAGTAGTCACATAAACGCGTGCCTAAAATGGCAGCCGCGTACAAAAAGCGTGACGCCAAAACCTCCATTCCCGCGATGGGTAAATACTTCAGCGCCGGCATGGCGCATACAGACCGGACAAACTTCTCACTCAGGGACACCGCCCGGCGTGAGTGTGATCAAATTGCACCCCCAGGAAGGTGTACTGCATAGCGCCCGATTCGCGGCCATCCCATATCGTGGCGTGACAACTGTCCGCATTACGAAGCGCTTGGGTTTCCCACAATGTCACATCGCTTTTCGGCCCTGCTATGCGTATATTATCGATCCATACGTCGATACGCACCAATGGAGGTGCAGCCCAGAGGGGGTGAACCACCGTCGTCACCCCGCAATTGCCGAGGTAATAATAATCTGGAGAATTTCTGGGCCGGCCTTGTATCCCATTGGGAGCCGTGGGGGCTCCACCAGCGTGCCGTCCTCCACGCGGCATCAAAAGAGATGCCGAGCCTCCCGTGGTAAAGAGACTTGAAAAAAGGACGCCTTTAAGTCCAGGCAGGAAGCGGCCTCAGCCATCACAGGCGGCAAATAATGGGAAATGTGTTAAAGAGGAACATGAGCCTCGTAAGGGTCGTCTCTGTTCTTGTCGCGTGGCCACGCGATCCATCGTCGTCGTAAGCCGGTGGTTTTCTCCTCCACAACTGAGAAGGGTATTATCCATCCGCCTGTTATTGTGGACGAAGCGTCCTCGATTATTCCAGCTTTTCGTAACAATCTCGCGTCAGCGGTTGGAATCCTCCGTGAGCCTTCGCGCGCTTTACCGGAGGAAGACGGTGGAAGAGGGGACCACCCGACGAGTCCCCATACTTGCATAAGACTCTCCAAGGTGGCCGGGTTCAACCAACTTTTGATCCACTCTAGGTTCAATAAGGGCACGTTGACTTGCTGTAACGGGATAGCGTGTTCATCTTGTGGAGTGGCCGGACGCGTCCTTGGCGTGCGTCTCGTTATTGTAGCAGCATGATTGTGATAAAATCAAAAAAAAAAATGCTCCTCCGTTCTCAGCCAGGGTTCCTGCCCTTCCGCAGTTTCTCCCTTCACATTATTGCGACCAGCGACAACACCTGGGTCAGCAGTGTGGTGTACCTCCACAAATATCGAACTGTGCTCTGGGAAAGGTCGAACGGGTCGAAGTGCTTCGCCAACTGCGAGACCACGTGTGGGTCCAAATCGTGTGCCTCCACGATTTGAGCAGCGTGTCTCAACGCACCGCGTTTTATGGAATGCGCCGTGGCATCCCAAGGAGCCAAAGATCGCTCCACGTGAGCAGTCGTAAGATTCGTTAGCCTTTCGTTTTCTTGAAGTGTCCTGCATGGCTTTATAGTGTCGAAGGCGTCCTGCCCTCGTATCCTCACGAACTGCGAGGCGCGGTGGGGATCCGCCCTCGCCGTCTTCGGCGCCACGGGCCAATCCAAAATTAAGGTCCCGTCCGCCCCCATTGTGGAATTGTTGGGGATTAAGGCCGCGATCTCGGACCAACGACTCGCCGTCATCCACGCAAGTCGAAAAGCAACACGTTCCCTCCAATCGGTCCGACTGCGGATAACTTGATTCATCCACCGCTTTCCTTTGTCAAGGGGCGCGCCTGTTTCTTCTCCGATCGCGCCGCAATCTTTTGTAGCCCCAGAATCACCATGTCCAGCGGGGTTCGATCCATTGCAACACAG